AACTGACAGAAGGAAAAGCAACACAGGCATTTTGAAAAAAAAGTTGCATGAAGTGTGAATCTAATTTAAAACTTTGTGGAATAAATTGAAATGCTACTAGAGAAATCCTGTCAATGATTTACAAAACTAAAACTATGAATTAATTTAGCATATGTTTTGACCTAGTTGCCTTTTCTTACTGTATTTTCCTAAGCACAAATATCCTCAAATGGGGAGGAGAGGGTTTCCCTCCTTAAACAGCATTTGGAAAATCCTTCAAGGGAAGTGGCCAGCTGTGTGAGCTGAATCCAGTGTCCTCACATGGTACCTGTCTGGTCCTAGCAGCGCAACACACCGCTCTTTCCAACAGGCTTCCTGAGTGTGTGGGTGCTCAGAGGTGCAGACCAGCTCCCCACCCTGGGCATGGACAGCAGTTACAGGGGACTCTTGTTCAGTCTGATGATTCACTGCTGGGCTGACCTCAGTCTCCAGAGTTAATCTCTAAGTGTCACATCTTGGGGGAGTGAGGGACATGGGCCTCCTTTGCTGCCGGGTGGTCTCCTCAGCCCCTCCGGGGGGAGTCATGGACACAGCCCTGGACTCTCCCCCAGCACTGTCTGCCACTACTGGCCTGGTGCCACCTCCTGTCCTCTCCATCATGTGCCCTGTGAGGCCATCAGTGGAGGGTGGCCACGGGCACAGGCTGGCACCTGAGGCCATTCTTCCCCAGAGCAGGAGCATGAGGAGTTTGCTCAGCAAGACACTAGGAAGCAGGGGTGCTTGTTCCTCTGCTGCAGAGGCCCAGGTGCAGGGTGGAGAGGCTGCAGCAGAAATGGGTCCTGCAGTCTGGCCAGCTTGAGCCCTAGTGAGAGCAGGACTGTGTCAACATTGGGGACCAAGGGGGGACCTGCAAATATTGCTGGTAGGAGTGGGCACTGAGTCAGTATAAAAACCTGAAAGAGCATAAATTTCACTAGGAAATTTTAATACGGAGATAATCAGATGAGTGGCAGCTTGTACTATTAAAAACTCCTCTTGGCGTTATTTCCAATAAGAAAGCCAGGAGACTGAGCATAGTCGGCTGCACCCACACTGAATCACTTAGGCTTCAGCACATCACGGTGCTCCAAGTGGCCATTGTGACATGAGGGAGGTCTCCAATCCCCCATGGTTTGACAGTTTCACTGTGCTTGTAAGAGAAACGGGTGGCGTGTGTGCATACTTCATATCCACAGCCACATGGACACAGTCTGACACTCTCCATCTTCAGGCTGAGAGCACTCAGTACCTTCATGGCACATGTCATAGCTGATTTCTTAGAAATACTCAGTGTGCATTATTTTCAAATGAGAACCATTACTTGCAATCAACCCTGCCTTGGTTCAGAGTGAGTTACCTTTTCTCCCTTTGAGGAGATTCCGTAGCTTGCCTGGGAGGAGGGAAAGCCGCTGTCTGCAGAGCCCCGTCAGCTGTTCAGAAGCCAAGGCCTCGGCCCGTCTTACCTGTGTTCAGAGAAGCCTCCTGCTTGCACCTATAGGAGCTATAGGAGCCCATGCCCCCTATAGCCCCCACCACCTGTCTGAAGCACCCCCTGGGAGGAACCTGGCAGAAGCCAGTGGTGTCCCTTCATCTGAAGTCACTTAAGAACTAGTGAAGTTGGACAGAAGGTAACTACAGTTCTTAGCTTTTAGCTCAGCATATAGTTCTTTTTTTTTAAATATTTTTTAGTTGTCAGTGGATCTTTTATTTATTTATATGGAGTGCTGAGACTCGAACCCAGGGCCTCACACATGCCAGGCAAGTGCTCTACCACTGAGCCACGACTCCAGTTCCCCTCAACATACAATTCCATGTGAGCTGGTGAAGCACATTTAATTTAATTGAGCTTCAGTTTCCATGCTGCCCTTTAAACCCAAGATGGCCTGGAAAAGGGAATATTATAATAATAATAATAATAATAATAATAATTTATTAACTTGATATGTGTACATAGAGTGCCACACCTTCTAAATGCAGTGGCTTCCACTTGTTCACTACCCTGATATTTATTGACAACATATTCTATGTCAGGAAAATGCCTATGTGCTTGGGAAGCAGAACAAAATGAAGATCCTGGTTTTTGTTACATGATAAGTAAAACTGAATAAAACCAAATGAGCCTAAAGGGCTGATCAAAGGAACAGGAGAAAGCCTGTGGGCTGGTCAGGCTGGCGCAGAGGCGTGTGTGCATGAATGGCTCACCTTGCTCCACTCAGCTGGTTTGTTGCAGCCGGTCAGAACCCACCATTCCACGTCTCCATAATGTTGAGAGAAGCAGGCAAGGGGGGTTTGGCAAAGACCCTGCTGGTCTGTCAGATTTAGGAAGTTCTGCCCTCAACACAATCTCAACGGAAAAAATAATGAACAAAGCTTCCTCTGGTTCAGCTCCTAGTTTTCTCAGGAAACACTCTGTGTTTCAGGACAAGCTCTGGAGGCCATGTAGCTATCTGCCATCACTGTGGCCTGGCCCTGGTACATAGGAACTCCTGTGGGAGTCGGGACTGATGGCCGAGGTCAGGCCTCATAGTGGCGCCTCACTGCAGCGCGCCAGCCACATGTCTGGGTCAGGACTGTGCTGTCACCCCCCAGGCCACAGAGGCCTGCTTTGTCCTCTCCCTCTGAATCAACGTCTGCATAACTGTCTCTAGTCAGCTTATCTGACCACTGCTTTTCTGAAATCTCCCTTAGTGTTTATAGATTAGAGGATATAGGTGCTTTGTGTTTTTCACTGATAAAATTTTACATTGCATAAATAAAAATATTTACTTACGTAAAACAATATGTGGAAGCCTGAGTTCAGATCACTTCATGTTCACATCTCTCACACACAGAAAGACCCCACAGAAGGTCTTTTTTTCTCTCCAGATTGGTCCTCAGGCTCTAAGTAGACCAGTTCACCTGGCATCTGGCAAGAATTAATCATGGCTTTTATCAGCACCTTGCTCTTGGGGGACTTTTGTCCAGGCCATTATCAGGACGACCAAACTGGCAGCTGCGTCCTGCATTACCTGCTCTCTACTTTGACAATTGTCTGCCAGTTAATATCAAGGTCTGCACACAGTGAAAATCAGACCAGAAGTCACAAGTCCTGGTCTGAGTCCCTGAGTGCCTGTTGCTCAAGTGAGGTGATAATTTGTCTGAACATCAGCTTTTTCATGTCCCATGGGGCTAATTATTTTTTAAATACCTTATAGAACTTTGTAAGGATCAGGTAATACAATTGAATATAATTTGAAATATAGGGACATATTTTTATTTGTCTTTTTGCCATCATCTGGAATGGTGTGTGTCCTGTTGCAAGTATGCAATTGATAATATTAAAATTGATTTTAGGTTTCTGTAATTGTCATTTCCAAGTTAATGCATCATCTTTAATAAAGAGGAAAATCTGGTGACCACAAATATACTCATACGGAAATTAGGTGAACTAACCTTGGAAAAAAATCTCTTGCTCTCCCTCTTAGGTTGTGACTCATCTTTGGTTCTGAGGAGTGGACACCCACCACGTGACATGCATGATGGGTTTTCCAGTTGTTTAGAGAAAATCCATGGGAAGTGTTCATGTAGATCAGCCCTCACAATGTGACACTGTGGAACTGGCCCCGAGTTTGCTGACCTGTGTCTTCAACGGCATGGCAGAATTCACCTCCCTCCATGTCCAGCCAGCAAGGCCCATGACCTCTGCAGGGATTGTCCAAGTGCTCTTCTCTTCCACGTTGCTTTTCAAGTATTTTGAATATTTTGAAATATCAATCAATGTGTAGGTTAAATGCCCTTGTTAATCATGCAAGAAAATTAATCTTGGAAATGCAAGAACAAACACCCTAGCACATATTCACACAGGCCTCGAGTGATGTCCGGGACTCCATGGAAACAAGAAGGAGAGGGATTCCCAGTGGGGAAGACACTGGAAGTGCAGCATGCAGTGACCTTGTGGAAGGAAAGGGCAGCAGAGGTGCTGCAGGCTGGAGGAAGGAGAAGGAAAGGGCTGTCGGGCCGCAGGACACAGTGTTCACCAGGCTGAACGGGAACACGGGGGAGGATTTTCCCAAATGAATCCGGGCTGCCTCGCGCTCCGGGAAATGCTCCTCCAGCCAACCTTCCATCCCTTTCCTGCTTGTTAATTGTTTAACTTCAGGATAAAGTAAAATTTCCGGGAACCTGGGAGACAGAGCAGGCCAGTGGTGGGATCACTGCAGGGAAGCTGTCCACCTGGGTGGGCGCTGCTGGGGGATGCTTCCCTCTGCCTCCGAGTTGGTGCCAGGGAGCAAAGGACGGAGTAGACTTTGGTTAGTCTTTGTCGGCTACACATCACCTGAAAATTGTCCAATTTTTCCTAAGCCTTGTGCTGCTAGAGGAAAGGAGCACCAGTGAACCCCAAGGTGTCTTATTTCTCAAGTTTGAGGCCCCTATGCACAGAAGGAAGTGAAATAATAGGTCATGGAAGGTTCCCTGTCCTCTGGTCAGTTGAAGTTGGATTCAAGTTGACCACCTATCAAAACACCACATCTAACCTCAACTAATTGGAAAAGAAAGGCGTTTCTACCAACATGTCACCAGAGAGGCGAAGAGAGAGAACACAGAGCCCGTTAGCCTAGAGGACGTAACGATAGCTAGGCAGAGGTCTTCATGTGCTCATTCTGCATTCATCTGTTACCACTTTATTAAATATCAATGGAAGTTGATTTAGACATTAAAACTTGAAGGCAGTTTCAACTTTCAATCAACCAGTCAAGCAAACAATAATTAATTTCTGGCTAAGCCCTAGACTATGGGAAGAGAGGCATGGTAAGAATCTATCATGTAAATTCATAGCCAAGAAAATAAAGAGATAAAATGTGATGGAAAACACAGAACCTCAAACACAATCCCATGTTCACAAAACTTTTAAATAAGACTGAGACACCATCAGCATCACAGACTATGTTACCCTGTTGACTGTTTGAAACTAAATCATCCAGGACATGGCAAAAGTTCCTTGCAATTTGCATGTGAAAGTTGGTTAGCAATGGGACATGAAGGATCAGGACCCCACGTGACGCATCCATGCAGGGCACTCCATAGGGGTGCTCACCTAGGGCCAGAGTGCCACCTGCCTGAGAACACTGGCTAGAAAACATTTGCTGCTCCATCTGCACAGGAGCTGGCTGGCTCTGATGCTCTGCCAGCTTCATTTCCACTCCTGGTGACACTTGCACAGGCTGGTGAGCCAGCTGAGGACTGAAGACTGCCGGAAAGACACTGAACGTATTTCAGAACCAAGGACATCTGTCACTGGCCACGAGAGCAGGATGCCCTCGGTCCCCTAGTGTCTCCTAGACACATCCCCTGGTCTTATTCTCTGGGAGAAAGCACATCTCCCCAGCAATTTCCTCAGGGCTGAGGCCACCTCTTTATTCCTCAGGCTGTAGATGAGGGGGTTGAGCATGGGGGTGAGGATGGTGTAGAAGGCAGACACCACCTTGTCCTTCTCTGGCGTATGGTATGAATGGGGCAGCACATTCGTGTAGAAGGCGGCCCCGTAAAATATGCTCACCACCATGATGTGGGAGGAGCAGGTAGCGAAGGCTTTGCGCCTGCCCTCTGCGGAGTTCATGCGGTGGACGGTGATGAGGATGCGCGTGTAGGACACAGAGATGATGGAAACGGGGATGAGCAGCATCAGCACGCAGCAAGCGTACATCAGCGTCTCGTAGAGTGATGTGTCTACGCAGGACAGCTTCAGGACAGCTGGGATCTCACAGAAAAAGTGGTTGATCTCTCGGGACCCACAGTAGGGGAAACTCATGGTCACAGGGGTCAGCATGAATCCATCCAAGGAGCCGCCAGTCCAGGAGCCCAGAACCATGATCAAGCAAATCCTGCGGTTCATGAGGAGAGGGTACCGCAGGGGGTTGCACACGGCCACGTACCGGTCATAGGCCATGAGGCCCAGCAGGAAGAATTCCCCTCCGATCAAGGTCAAATAGAAGAAGATCTGAAGTGCACACCCCAGGAAGGAGATGGTCTTTTCCTTGGCCAGAAGGTCTTGGAGCATCTTGGGGACAGTGACACAGATGTAGATGGTGTCCATAATGGAAAGCTGGCTCAGCAGGAAGTACATGGGTGTGTGGAGGCGGGAGTCCACATGGATGAGCAGAACCATGACCATGTTGGCCGTGACGGCCACCAGGAAGATGGAGAACACCACGGCAAAGATGAGCCCAGGGAGTGCTGGCCGCGTGACGAGGCCCAGGAGGAGGAAGTCAGTGGAGTTCTGGGGCATGGATTCCATGTCCAGGTCACATGGCAGGCCTGGGCTGTGAGACAGAAAGTTGGGGGTCAACTGGTTGTCCAATGATCACTCAGCACAAATAGCATGGCTGAAGCAATGTGGGGTCAAGAAAGAAACAGGAACACAGAACCATTTGAATCCCTGTGACTTTGCCCATGTTCATCGCCCTCTAAGTCAGCGCCAGTCTTTGGGAGAGGTCGTCAGGGCCTGGGCTGCATGGGATGGATGTAAGAAGGACATGCTGTGATCCTTTAGGACTTGCACCACCTTTGTTCTCCACCGTCTTCTAGATTCATCTTATAACCTTGTCACTCTGGGTTGGAAGCTTCTCTTAACCCCTACACTGTCTAGCAATCCATGTACCTCAGTTCACTGCATTTAAGGGGCTCTCTGCTGTTAAGATGACCACAGTGTTAGGGTCAGGTGTAGACGCCCCTCTGAGACCTGAGAAATTGATATGAAAGGAACATGGAGCCGAGGTCTCTGGACACATTGGGCTTTTGAGCTGCTGTTATTCCTCCACAGTGGTGAGAACATTCAGGGCATCAGATGTTAGAAGGGCAATCTGGTCACTCCCTTGAGGTCAGGTCCACTGTCCTGCAGTCAGACCTGTGCTGCAAAGGGAGCTTAGACCTTAGCATGGGCTACTCCAGGCACTTGGCTCCCAGTTCTCACAGGACAGCCTGGAGCCAGAGCTGAGGGAGGACCCCTGTGGACTCTGCTCAGCACGCTGGGCTTTGGGTCCACAATGGGGTCTTTCCGGCTGACACCGGAGTCTCTGAAATTTTATGGCTGGGTACTGGCCACAGCACAGAGGGACAGCCTAGCTGCTGTCTGGTGTTGTTCAGCCACGGCCTTGGCAGGCTCCCTGAAGGGGTCAAAAGCCGCCACCCCCCCCACCAAGGAGGGGTTGTTCCAGGAGCCCTGGGCCAGTGGGTCTTCTAGCCTTACATTTATTTCTCTACAGTGTTCTGAATCTTCTATGTCTGTAAATAAAAATAACTACAGATGGGAAAGAAATATCTAAATTCAGAGTAAAAACCACAGCAGTATTGAAACTCCTTCACATTGATTAAATTAAAGGAATCCTTGTTCTTTTTATTCTAATATAGCTGTAATGCCTACCTCTTTGATATAGTCAAAGGTATTGAGAGGCAAATTGTCCACTTTATTATTAGCATATAATGGCCTTTCTTCATTTCTATGACACCCTGTGTTGGCCAGCAGTACTAGACAGTACACCTGCATCTTTGGCTCCAAAACATCACGTATGTGGTCTCTGAAGCATCAAGCAGAAATGACTGCCCTGGGCTGGAGCAGAGTAGGAGAAGTATGGAGGAGCATATCTCGGCTCAGCGTTCGCCTGAGATGGGGATTTATTGGAAGAAACCATCCCTATGCGTGAGGACAATCCAAAGAGAAAGTGAGAGAGCCTTAGTGTGGGCAGAGGCGAAGCTGTGTGAGACAGCTCATCAACCGGGGGTGGGGGGAAAGCAGGCCCCGAGAAGAGAGGCCACTCCCGGCAGCTGGGCGAAGCCAGCTCCCTTGTCCCTCCTTAGTATGTGCAAGACTCCCCGTGATAGCCTCAGCTCAAATCGCAAGCCAAGAAAGACACGGGTAGTACTGTGACTAAGGCCCGACCCGTGGGCTTCTGAACCACCGCTGGCAATCAGCAGGTTTGCGTAGGAAGGCGTCACCCTGGCCCACCACCTGTCTGTCAGTCAGGTGACCGCGGCTGCGTGTGCCTAAGGCTGCTTCCTCTAAAGCAGCTGACAAATAGCCTTCTAAATTACATTTTGAAAAACTGTAATGAATGACAATGTGAAAAATGAACTGTCAGATCAGGCTGGGCAGGCAGCAACCAAAGTTGGCAGATTTAAAAGGGCCGCTGAACAGGCTAAATTGAGATATCACTCCCGGGCGGAACTCGATCAGACCCACAGAGGGGACAGGGGAAGGGTCTGAGGAGAAACCGAGTGGAAGTGCCATTAAGTCGCCACTAAGTCGCTGCCACCGACCTAACATGAACATTACCTAAAAATTAACTGAATTACCCTGGAAAATAGCAAATTGCTTTTGAGTTAAAGCACAGGACCGAGAGTTGTGCTTCAGTTAAGTCAGCTTACATCTCAAATGGTGTTTGAAAACAGGAGGCGAATCACTGTGCCTCTGCCTCCCTGGTTAGGAACGGAAGCTTGCTACCCCCTTTGTCCTCCCTTAGAGTGGACGTGGAAGGGGAGAACTCTAGCATTGCAGAGGGGAAGATGCTTTGGCCCCCCTCTGTCCTGAGTGCCAGACCCAGGTTGCCTGTGGGTGTGACTCTGGGAACACTGGGTGTGGGCGTGTGACTGTGTGTGTGCACGGTCATGTATGTGATGTGTGTATGTGATGTCATGTATGGGATGGTGTGTGCAGTGTGGTCTCGTGTGTGGTGTGTGCGGTGTGATCACAGTGTGAGTGTGCAGAATTCATTCATGCTTCTGGTGTGTGTGCTGTGCATATGTGAGTGTGCCTATATGTGCTTGAGCATGTGCATGTGTGTGTTGTAGGTGCTGTGTGGTGTGTGTGAGTGTGTGGGTGTGTAAGCAGTATCACCCCACAAGCCATGGTCAGCACTGGAGAACAACTTTCAGAGAGCAGGTGAATTAGGGCTTGTGCTAGGAACACTATTCAGGAGCTCTTCGGCTGCGGGTTCCCTGAACCCATTTCTCACACTAGAGTGACACTCCTGTTCAACACATGAGCTAGCTGCTCCGCATACCCCAGGCGCCGGACCCTGCCCCTCAGGCCCCCTTTCCCCTACTCTCTTCTCCCTGGTCAAGGCCTCAGGCTTTCCCAATCTCCCTGTCCAATCTGAGTCTTTCTAAAAATATGAAATAAAATAAGGAGAAACCTCTAATCTGCATGATCTCAGGTCTTTCTGCTGTTCAAGACAGACAACGCCCTCTCTCAGAGCTGTTCAGAATTGTCACATAGAATACTCTGATCCCAGGACTGGTGGTGACACCACTGGGTCCCCACATAACCACCTGTGGACAGTGCAGGTGGAGAGGCTCTGGGGTCTGCACCTGTGACTGAAGAGGGACGGGGTGGCTGGTGTGGTGAGAGGGTTGACAGCCCCTGGGGGTCGGCCTCTGGGAGGACAGGTGAGGGGAAGGAGGCAGCCTCTGCAGGGTACCAGGCAGGAGACGCTGTGTGTCTGGGACAACAGGCCTGGGCTGTTTTGGAGAGGCCACAGAGCCCAGGCAGTCGGTGCCCCTCACAGCAGCTTGTGGAGGAGACGCCCAGGTGAGGGCCAAGGATATGCCACCAGGGAGAGGTGCCTGGGCCTGTCCCTTCTAACACCTTCCCAGGAGTCCAGGAACACTACAGCTGCAGGGCCATTGTCCTGCGTGGCATGAGGTTGCTGTTCAGGAGGCTGTGCTCCTGCAGAGCAGGGATCCTGCAGTGTCCCCAGAGGGAAGAGGTGCTCCCACTCCCAGGAACCCAACCCTCAGGTGCCCCACACTTGTGCTCAGTCACCGTGCCCAGCAGGGCATGGGCCACAGACTCCAGGAGCCACTGTCGATGTCCAGGGTGCAGCCCGGTGGACAGACGCAGCCTGGGGCAGAAGTCCTCAGAGAGCAGTCTCCTGCGAGCCTACCAGGGGGCTCTCTGCAGAAGGGAATGTGTTATGTCCATGAATCATGTCACAGCCACAAAATCAGGTGACAGGAGGAGCTTGTGCGCCTGTGCTGGGGGCTGGGGCTTCCCCGAGGAAGGGCGGCACCGGGTCCCCCAGGTTTCCTGCAGTAAAGATGGTGTCACACTCCTAATCAGTGGCACTCTCTGGCTCTGAGGATCAAGGCTTGCTTCTGAAGGAGGAAAGCGGGACTAGGACAGCCTGTTGGGGTGCAGCTGCTTTGAACAGAGTTCCCAAAAATGACAAAGACGTGAGTGTGGGGGAGGGGGAGGGTGAGGAGCAGGAAGGACAGGGGAGCTGGCACGGGCCCGCACTTGGCTGCCTCTTAGGTGTGGGGCGCAGTGAGGAGGAGTCTGCTGCCTACCTGCTGTCCCATGGTCCACAATACTGCACTTGAAATCCCCTGTGGGCTGGAGGCCAGATGCTCTCCAAGCGCACAGCATTTGAGAGCTTGTGAGGGAGTGAGTCTCTGTGAAGCATTTCTCACAAACCAAGAGAAGACCAGAGTCAGCCCAGTTAGGAAAACTGCAACTCAGAGGTGGAAATTGGTCTGAATTAAAATTGAGACTGAGAAAAAGGAGGGAGATCTGGGTGCCTCAGGGTGCTATGTCCCAGGAGGGCAGGACGCAGGCTGCTGATGGGGGGAAGGAGCCAGGCCACACACAGCGGCAGAGCAGGTGTGGAGCCCCGGCACAGAGGGACTGGACAGCAAAGCCAGAGGCTGCCACTCAAAACACCTAGAAGCAGGGTGTGAAGGTGAGCAGCCCCAGCAGCAGCACCTGGTAAGGTGGCTGTGGGAGAATGGCTCCCTGCAGCACCATCCTGTGTCACTGCTAACCAATGTTACAGCCTCCCTGGGCTGCGACCTCTGGACCCCTCCACCCATGCCCACTGTGGCCGGGCTCCTTTGCCTGTGCTCACATCCAGGAACCATGTGCACACTGCCTCAGAGCACACCTGGTCAGAGATCAAAGCAGTGTGTCCTTAGTCTCCACTGATGTGGACTGGCCCCTTCACCACGGCCTCCCTACGTCTCATGATCACATATTTCCCAGAAGCCCCACACCTTCTTCATTTACCAGAGATTGCTGCCTTCCTCACTCTCTATCCCCAGAGTCAACTTAGAAGTTTGGAAAGTAGAAACTTAAGCATGAAGAAGAATGAAGAACCTTTCCTTAGGTTAAAACCCAGCGCTGTAATGGAATGTGTGTAGTGTTTACCGAACACTAAT